TATATATATATATATATATATATATACATATATCTGTAATGAAGACAAAATAGTCTGCCTCCAAACAACAATATGCACTCAGCATTCCGACAGTTTTTCTGAGGGTACTTTCTGGTGTTTTATGTAGATTTTAAGAGCTATTCTCAGTTCAGTTTTATATATTTTTAAGTCTCGGGGAGGCATAAAGGGCTGTGTTATTATTTCAGCTGCCATACCTAAAATAAACACATAAAAGGTCTGTAGTCCAACATATCTCACAGACTGATAAGTTAAAAGGGCAAACCAGAGCAAATCAGGTTTAACATCCAGCTGAATGTTGACTTTCTTCATTTTAGTAGCTTGGTAAATAATGGCATTAGGACAAAAGTTTTCATTTATTTTGTTCTGCTAACTGAGGGCAAGCATGTTAACAACATAAAAAAAATAAAATGTATCTTCATACATACTTAATACATGCTTTACTACTTTTAAAATAACCCCATTCTTCTTTTACTGCCTTCTGATGACGGCCTACATTCTATTTTCAAACAGTACTTTATTACTGCAAACTTTATTATTTAAGCCAGCAACCGCTTATTCCCTCTTAAATTAATTTACAAAGCTGCTGAAAAGGAGCAAAACAAACAATCTAAGCACACTAGAATTGTTTAGAAATTTGTATTTATGAGTAACACTTTTGGTTGGACTTAGTTTTATTAGCAAAAAAGGTTTAAAACAGTTTTAATCTGATAATGTCAGTGTGACCACTGACCCAAAAAGGGTTAAATAATCTGAGAATTATCAGGATTATTTGCAGAAATGCTGGCAGTAATGAATTTCAGACATACCTCCTCTTTTCCCACCCTGGTAGGGCCTCATAAGGATCTGCAGGGCAGCTGGATTGGTCATACTTGTCAACAGCTGAGCCAGGTTCGGTTCTGGTAGTAAGCCTTTCCTGTTACTGAGAATCTGAAGAGAAGAAGGGAAAACAATTTCCAACATGTAAGCAGTAAAGTTTGAGTGAATGTGTTAGAACAGGATGTTGTCGTAAGAAACCGTGATAGATGCAGTAACAGTTACAAATGTTTACATCATAAAGATGCATCTGCAATGTCAGCAGAGGGGAGTCAGTCTCAGGAGGTAAGGAGAAAAAAAAGAGGGACAGAGCTAAGAACCAGAACCATCAGATTAGAAAGGTTTAACAAAAACAAGCCAGAAAAAGATCTGAAAGTCGAGAAGGGCTCAATTTCACACATTTTTTTGTGCCAGTTTTACACATTGGTTAAAAAGCATTCTTTGAGCTGAGGTGTGGATTCGTACAGAGCGGAACATTTTCTATCAAACTTGTATGTAGCAACAGGAGCGAGATGAGGGAGAAATGCCTTTTAAATTGCATTTCAACATATTTTCAAAAAAATCCATTTGATAGGACTAAATTGCTTGGCTACTTAAAAACTACATGCATACAAAACAATAGAAAGAACAGCATGGGAAACCTATGAATGAAACTGAGCTTTTAAAGAAGACACTTATTTTCTCAGGAGAGTCTGGCTTCAGACCTGCAGAACGGGAACTCCTGCACTGTCAGGACTGAAAGTTTATTCCGGAAGTTGTATTCAAAGCCTTCAGAAATAGTGCCAGCATGTGTTTGCTTAGAGTTTACGACATTGTTAAACTGAGCATAGGAGCACTTTAAATTATACAATAAGCAAAAATCCTCATAGCACAGCCAACCTCCATTGTGGTTTAGAAAAAGGTCTTATACCTTATGACCAAATGCCCTTCTCCATCCAGCGATCCAAATGCAGAGACTTATTTCTATGTAGCACATATCTATTATTCAAGATAGGTGTTTGGTGGGGAGTAAAATTGTGCGTCAACATAAGTTTCTAGCATAAAAACACTTGTTTGTGAAAGGGAGCTAGCTTCACGGGGAGTTTATCGATACTTGCTTTTACTTTAGAAAGGATTCGAATCAACTTCCCTTTTACTTTGAAAGTCTTCAAATAAACTTCTAAGATCTAACTACACAGGAGACCCCACAGTGCAGGTCTGCAGTTAGGGTCCTCACAGTGCAGGTCTGCAGCCAGGGTCCTGAAAGTGCAGCTCTACAGCCAGGGTCCTGACTGTGCAGCTCTGCAGCCAGGTTCCTGACAGTGTAGGTCTGCAGCCAGGGTCCTGACAGTGCAGCTCTGCAGCCAGGGTCCTGAAAGTGCAGCTCTGCAGCCAGGGTCCTGACAGTGCAGCTCTCCAGCCAGGGTCCTGAAAGTGCAGCTCTGCAGCCAGGGTACTGACAGTGCAGCTCTCCAGCCAGGTTCCTGACAGTGTAGGTCTGCAGCCAGGGTCCTGACAGTGCAGCTCTCCAGCCAGGTTCCTGATAGTGTAGGTCTGCAGCCAGGGTCCTGACAGTGCAGCTCTCCAGCCAGGTTCCTGATAGTGTAGGTCTGCAGCCAGGGTCCTGACAGTGCAGCTCTCCAGCCAGGTTC